GGCGGCCGGCCCCAACCCTGTACTCTGCAGACAGGTTGATCTGGTGTTTGAACCTAAACCGAGCGAGTGACCCAAGCCCCAGCAGTAGCCCCAAGGGAAAGAACATTGTTCAGCTGGAGCAGAGACCTGGTCCCCCTTGGGGAGGGGGTGAGGACAAGCCCCCAGCCGAGTTACTGAGCTCAGTGCTCGCCAGCTCAGAGGGCTGGATTTTCATCCGCCTGTCTGGAGGCCTGATGCCCAACCTTGTACAGCTCCTTGCTCTTCACTAACCAACTGCCTGACATGTGCGTAGAGCCCTGTGTGTGTAACTGTGTAGTCCTAGTGACACTTCTCAGGATGGCATCTAAGAGCTGCTGTCTGGGAGTCCTCACTGTAGTGTTTGCATGCTTCTTGATGTCAGACTTAACCATGAGCTTGATAACCAGCAGAGAAAGAGAAAGCCTACCTCCTGGCCGTGGCTGTTGTGATGCCTTGCTCTGTGCTGGCATCTGGGCTACCTGCTGTCTGCTTTGAATAAAGTTGTAAAGCTTGAACACTCAACTGTTCTTGTGGATTCTTGCGAAGCCATGATGCTGTTGTGGTCAGGGGTAAGCTCAGGCAGCTGGAGGGAGGCTGCTCCGCTCCCCATCAGGGCTGGTGACTGGCAGCTCCAGTCCCACCTTGTTGATGTGCCACACCAACACTGTGCTGTTTGGCTCCAAGTCCCACCACTCTCCTTTTGTGGCCAGAGCCAGGTCGTACGTGCTGCTTCTTGGGTCACTGTGCTGACCCTCAGGAGCCTGTGGTGTTGGAGTGAATGAAATGTCAGCCTTTCCACAGGCTCTGGCCTCGCAGGTCTCTGCGGTGAGATGGTGTCTGGACAGGGCTGTGGATAGCCGTTTCTGTGTCCCAGGCAGCCAGAGCTGTCCCCTGCCCTTCATCACCCCCTTGGAGCTCCCCGGGATCGAGGTGCAAACGGGCATTTTGTTACCGCTCAGGGGTATCAGGAGCCTGCGTCCCTAGAGGCCAGCTGGGGGAAGACTGTCCTGGCTCGGGGCCTTGCATTTCAGCCGTGGCCAGCTCTCCTCTGCTGCCTTCCCTCCGCACTGGTGCCCACTTCACCTCCTGCTCTACAAACACTACCCTATGAAGATGCACCCACCACTTGGGGTGGGAGGCAGCTTCTCTGGGAGCTCTGCTCGCCCCTGACGGGCTCTCCCGGCATAGCTCCACTCCCTCCTGTTCCAGCAGGGATGATTTACTTCTTGGAAACACGTCGTTTCCTGCATCTCCCTGCCCAAACCTGGCCGGGCTCCTCCTCCGCCCGCAGTGGCTGCGCGCAGGACCGGGGCTGCTC